GCATGAGCGACCTGATGAACCACTCCCGATTTCCATTTGACACGAACAGCGAGATGCTAGCAGTACCGAGTCATTTGGACGACGATGAGTTTTTCAAAGACCTTCCTGTTTTGGCACGTAACCAACGACCGACAACACAACATCGCGAGGCTTCCACTCATTCAGAAAAGCCTGATTCCAGAACACGCGAGCAAAAGCCAAAGGATCATGATAATGATCCAAACAAGCAATCCCAAATGGATAAAAAGCATCAAATGGTCGATACTGATGCCGACAAAGACAATCAACTTCGTCGAGCTTTCTCATCTTACACATACAGCAACTCATCTATCGTCGACGACAAAGGTCGACGGGTGACAAGTAAGCGTCGTCGTTACGAAGACTCAACGGGTCGACTCAAAGCTGTGCACGAGCGCCAGATTGAGGGTAAAAAGCTGCGTACGACGTGGAGCCGCATGGGTCCCGATGACGAGGGAAAGCACGAGGCTATGTGTTCAAGCGGCACGCCTGAGGAGTTTGAGAAGCTGTGGCATGAGACTCCGTTTGGTGTGGCGCAGAAGGACACTATGGCTCAACAGCAACTGGAGCAAGACCCCAAAAAAGATGGTTTTAAGCCTCTGGCTAAGGAGGCAGAGGCAACGCCGATGGAGACGTAAAGGGATCTGTAAGATGGACACTAAAAGATACTTGCATATCTGTTCGTTAAAGAAGTAGTGAATGCTGAAATAAAGTAAACTTTTGGTGATTCAACATCCTAAAATTATGCCCGTAACGTATTCAAATGGCTTGTATGTTTTTATACGTAGGTAAAAACCGTCAAAGTGCTCATGAACGTCACATTGTCGGCCGGTAAACTCATTGAGGTCCTTAATTAAGCACCAACAATGTCATACTTTAGACGGAATCAATCTCTCTGTGACTCAGAGAACCCCTAAGTTTGCTGGAACGATGTACGATCGTTAAACAATTATTTAAAATCTTTGTGTCGACATGATGTTGATAACGCGACGCATTCTACCAGAACCGTCACTTGAATTATGTTGTTTTAGCGCGCAAGCTCAAGTTTCAAGTCATATAAACCAAAAACTACAATGT